GCCCTGAGCACCCTGCTTTGGGGGTGCCTCTGGAGCCTGCACATTCTGTCAGTGAGCAGAGACACAGGAGGACTTTAGAAAGTTCCTGGGTGGAACAGGAGAGGGAGGATTAAAAGTATGAGTTTATTTGGTACCAAAAAATCATTTCAGTCTATGTATAGTTTTCTCATAATACATATTTTCCATGTGCTGTAAAACTGTTTTTTGCACTGAAAAAAAAACATATTGTCACGCATATAAACTTAGTTCCATTTTATCATCAGCTGTTTGAAGTGCTGATACATAAGAGCAGCATTATGTACCAGGCAGTGGAATTGCAGACAGATCATAGCTCACAGTCTAGGAGGAAAGAGCGGTAAGACACTTCCAAAGCCCAGTAGAGCAGAGGATGTGCAGGGGATGGAGGGCTGGCTCCAGGAAGGCACACGATGTGTGCTGGAGGTGAGGACACCTGACGATCCCACAGCCAGCAGCAACAGGCAGGAGAGTGGAGGGGAAGATGGAGGTGACACACTGAGAAGGACCCACTGTGCAGAGGTCCTATCCTGCCCACTTCACCAATACCCGGAACGGTGCAATACTATGAAAATCAATGTCTAGATGCACTTAACAAATATTAAAAAACAAACAGACCTAGGCCCAGTGTTGTTCTGGGCACTGGGAATACAGGATTGAACAAAACAAGGTGTTAGGGAAGTGTTTAGCACAGTGGTAAGATCTCACCTGAGACAGCCGTAACCTGTATTGGGGTCCTGGGGTTCACGTTGCAGCTCTGCTCTTGATTCCAGCTTCCTGCTAACAAGTGCTCTAGGAAGCAAGATGGGATGGCTCAAGTCCTTGCGTCTGTGCCACACACAGAGATCTGCATGGAGCTCCTGGCTCTAGCATGACCCAGCCCTGCCTGTTGGGAATCAGTAGATGGAACATCCTCCCTCCCTCCCTCTCTTTAGCTTTTTCACACAAATAGAAATAAACAAAACCTTATATGTAAATAGACTCAAAGGCATAAATATGTTCAAAAGGGTAGCTACTTAGGATGCATTTTTAATATCTCTTCAGTATTACATTACTTATGGGCTAAAAAGGAAAAAAAGATAATGTTGAAAACTATTAGCCATTCCTATATGATTTCTTTTTATATAGGTCTGTTTATTTATTTGAAGGTAGACTGGTAAAGAGGGACAGAGAGAGAGATCTGTCATCTGCTGGTTCACTCCTCAAATGCCCACCAAAGCCAGGGCTAGACCAGGTCACCACAGCCAGGAACTCCATCCGGGTGGCAAAGACTCAAGCACGTTGGGTCATGCTGCCTTCTCAGGTGCATTACCAGGAAGTTGGATTAGAAGTGAAGCAACTGGTACTCAAAGCGGAGCCCATATTGGAGGCAGGTGATCCAAGCTGCAGCCTAATCCTAGTGTATCACAACCCCCCCCCAATATTTTTTAAGCCAAATAAATCATCAAGATAAACATCTATTATCAGCTATGTACTTTTGCATAATGGAAATAAGCATAAATATTTTATAAGCTATCAGTAGCAACAAAATTAAAAATTATATGTCTGTTCCAGTTTAGCTACTAGAAACTAAATGATGCCAGTGGTGTGGGGGGACCTGTGTGTGCTCCTGGAGTGATCCACTCTTCCTTGGCCTTTTTCTCCTGTCATTTTCCTGTGCTCTAGTGCTGGCCAGCAGGAGCTTTCTGAACAACCTCCTGCTTGTTCTATGTGAAGTTGACACATATTCTGTCCCTTGTGAGCCCACTGCAGAACTACTGAAAATACATAAATGCAGCTTCGGCATACTAGAAACTAGTTGTGTTAACCACTGGTCACAAATGTAGTTTTCTTCTCATGGAATCACATTGCAGCTTGTACCACTGATAAAAACACCTGTCTGCATGGCAAGCCAGAACGTACAAGTTCTGAAACCTTGTGGAGTGGGCAGTGTAGGAGAAAAGAGTGCAAGCATGGCCTTTAGAAGTGATAAAGACTTTTAGTTTCACTTCACCAAAAGCAGCCAGTCCTTTGCCCCAGGAATGGGTCCTGTGTGTTTCTCTTGGAGCAGTAGAGGCAGCGAAGTGCATGTCCTAGTTCTGGCAGTCTCCATGTTCTCAGGAAAGTCCTATGCCCTGGATCCTGCTAATCTGCAAGGCTAAAATGAGCAGACTCAATTCCAGCTCTCTTTCTGTACCTCAAACAGTGTGTACTGGTCCATATTTTAAGCAGTACAAGTATCTTTTAAGAGGAAGAGGAGGCTTTGCAGGGAAGGACGGCTACATGAGGAGCCGGCGCTTGGCATAGCAGTCATGGTGCCACATGGGACGCCCGCATTCCTTGCCATCCTGGCTCTGTTGTCTGGTCCAAGAGGCAGCCAAGGACGGCCATTCACCGGGGAGATTGGATTGAGTTCTTGTCCCCTGCCTTCATCCTGACCCAGCACTGGCCATTGCAAAGCATTTGGGGAGTGAATCAGCAGATGAAAGATGTTTCAAGAACTATCTCTGTCTCATTCACTCTTTGTGGCTTTCAAATAAATAAAAAGAATTTTTTAAGCATAAATGAAATTATCCTGTAGCTCACTGCTATTGTAAGGGTATACTGTTTAAGGAAAAATGTTCCAAAGGAAAAACCTGTCATTCATTTAGAAATGAAGCGTGGTTTTAGATTTCTGCCTCGGGGCTGACAGATTGTGTGGGGCCAAAAGCTCCCTGGCTCTGTCTGTCAGTGGGCAGAGTCACGGCAGCAGGTGGTGGTTACAGCCCAGCTGCATGCTGGGAAAGTAACCTTGCCTTGCCCTCCACAGACCACCCACCCCCACATGGAATGCGTTCCAGACTCAGGTAAGCCAGGTGTGCACAGGGGTGAGCAGAGGAGGGGGAAGGGGCTGTCACTTGCACACTTCCTGAAGGACAGGCTCCTGCACCTGCCGTGGGTCCTTGTGACTCAGCAGCCATGCCAGGGGTCAGTTCAGCCCACAGAGCTGACCTGTCAGCAGGTAGCAGCGCCCAGGAAAGTGTGCATTTCAGCTAGGGCAGGTGTCCCCGGGAGCACCATAGCTCCCGCAGGTAACAGTGATACCCACCCAGATGAAAAGCCATGGCACGCTGGGTATCCCTTACAGCACACTGCCACTGCCACCCAAATCTTCCTGCTGTCACCTTGCAGCCCTGACATTGTGCGCAGTCCTCTAAAGCTGTCCAAAGAAAGTGGGGACCCAAGGGTGAGCATGATTTCTGGGAGCACTGGAGTAAAATGCCCCGAGGAGGCAGACAAAAAATGACTTGCCTAGGGGTAACCCTCATAGAACACCATGTTCTCAACAATGAAAAGTCCAAGGACTAATGCTGAAGTTAAAGCAAAGCGCAGCTCTATGAAGAGATAGGGTGTGGTGGCCTGATGGGAGGTGAAGCTCCCTCAAGCCAAGGAAGCAGATTGAGGTGGGAAAGGTTGAGACTTTGTATTGGGAGACATTCCACCCCAACTGAGGTCCCTGGAGTCAGCCCTGGCAGCCTGATTGGGAGTGAGGCCTCCTGCCAGCTGCAGGTTACTCCAGAGTTCTGGGTTTCTGGTTACTTCCTGAGAAACTGGCAAAATGGCACATCTGGCATTGATTGCGAAGTCCGGGGGCATCACGAACCATGAGCAGAGACTGTTGTTGTCATGGTGACTAGTCCCCAGACTTCTTCTCCAGCTACTGAATAATTAGTGTGTTATAAACCCCAGTTTCTGAGGTTCTCCCCACAACCACTAAATATGTCCTGACTGTCTGGTCCCTGGGAAAAGCAGTATGGAGCCCCAGTTTCTTCATGGAGCAGGTGTCAGGCATCGGGAGGATGGGGTCTGGTGGGCATTGTCTCCCTCTGCCAGGACAGAGCTGCCCTAGGAGACCCAGTGAGTCTTGGTGGAGTAAGGCACATGTCCCTGAGAGTTCACCAGCCCAGATCCCAGCTCTTCCATGACTGCCTGTAGAAACCAGGCCTGTTGCCTCAAAGTCCCGAACTTTGGTTTTGCAATCTGGAAAAAGAAAAAAGATTAATTTTTGTGTATTGGACACACAAAGCTCCTGTCCTGTTCCTGCAATACCTGTAGTGACCAGGGTTGAGCCAGGCTGAACTCAGCGGGAGAAGCTCCATCCGGGTCCCCCACAAAGCGGGCAGGAACCCAGTTACCTGCCCAGCAGCCATACCGCCTGGATGTACAGTCACACGAGCTGGCTCTCTGGTGGTTGAATCGAGCTCTAATTCTAGTTACCAAATTACTTACGTTTATTAAGAGCCTCGCTTTGGATTCAGGTGATTCCTTGGTCTTTAATGACACACAGGCAGCTACCAAGTCAGCCCGTATGTGCAGTGTCAGTTCACCACATGTCTATCCATTCATCTTCTTTGAAGCACATGGTAGTCCTGGGAGGCCATCTGGGCACTGGTTCACATCCCAGCAGCTCCACTTCTGACGTTGGGAAAGCAGCAGAAAGTGGCCCAAGTACTCAGGCCCCTACACCCACGTGGGAAACCCAGATGGAATTCCAGGTTCCTGGGTTTGGCTGGCCCAGTCCCATCTATTGCTAACTCTGCCTTTCAAAGAATTAAATACATAAATGCTTCTTTTAAAAATAATATCAGATTGTCAGTTGGCTTTCAGTTCATATAATTTTGCTAAAATGTATTCAGTGAAACAAATACCTGTTGACTACTTACTGTGCATCTACACATGTGCTCATAAGCATCTTACACACATTAGCACATTTAATCCTCACAAGAACCTATGATGAGAAGTGTCAGAGCTGGGGGATGTGATGTAGCCAAAGTCACACAGGTCGTGGAGGCAAAGCTGAGGTCTGGGCCAGCAGTCAGACTAAAGGCCAAAACTTGGAGCATGTTGTCCTCTTCATAGAATATCCAGATCATTAATAGATGATGGCAGAAATTCTAAATCCTCCCTGTCTGCTTTGTTGTGACTTTATTGAGACATATTTACTGAACAATTTTTTTTTCATCTAGGTTTATATTCCAGATGAAAACAATGCTATTTTGGGAAGAAATACAAATAAACAAGTGTTTGAAGGCTTGACCACTGGGCTTCTCAAAGTGAGTGCTGCAGTTCTGAGCTGCCTGATTGCCCACTGGCCAGATGCAAGCAGCCAGCCGGCCACCCCGAAAACATCCGCACAGGAAATGAAAAGCCCAGCCTCCCAAGCTGATGCTTTCCCCAGTCGCATTCAGGACCTTATCAGGTAAAGCTTGCTGGGTTTCTTCTGGAAGATTTAAGACATAAAGCTTGGTTCTTTGTTCTGAAAATGACCTTGCAGCTATTTAAATCTCGGGGCTGGTGCTATGGCAGCAGTTCTCATCTCGCAGCATTAGCTACAGAGTTCTAGTAGAGAATACACCACGTTGTGTGCAGAGAGAGGGAGAATCCTCTCCATTAAAAGGCACGTAGTAGAAGCTCAGTTGCCCGTTCCCTGTCCTGCAGGGGTGTGATGTTAGCCCATGTCCCATCAGAGCTAATGCCACTCTTTGCAGCTCAAGGAACTTCTGAGAATTCCACAGTCTCACTTCTTGCTGTTAAGTTTGGGTCAGGCTTAGCACAGCAGCCATAGCTACCATCTAGGGACACCTATGGTGTGTGGAACTTTGCAGTGGAAGTTTCACAGCCCCCAAGTGTAGGACTCTGTGGATGAAGGAATTGCTCCAAGAGGGTGGGTGCCTTGCTCAAGGTCAGGTTGTGTGATTTGTAAGCTCAGAAGCAGACAGGAGAACCGGACCGGGATCCCCTCAACTGGAGCTGGCCTCTCAGTGTCTGTGTGCTGTGCTTTCCACTGTGCATGTGGAGCAAAGTCTGATGCCAATCTTCCAATCAATGACTGCCCATCTTCCTCCCCGGGGCTGCTCTTCCTCTAGGGAAATTTACTCCTGCCTGGGCTGCTCAAGTCTTTCTCCCTTGGGAATCTTGAATCAGGTACAAGGTTTAATTTCCCAGCAGGGCTCCATCTGGTGTTAGTTACCTATTGCCCCGGTGAGCAGCTCTTCTGGGGTCTGTGGTCTCTGGCTCCCCAGACCCATGCAAGCTGTCACGCTCTGACGTGTGATAGGTTAACAAGAAAGCCACAGTGCCCTCCCCTGCGTTTGCTTCTTTCACAGTTCATAAATTCCCCCTGCCTTTCCTGCAACGCCCGGGAGCAGTCTCTTCCTTTGGTGTCTTCCTTCCCCTCTGCTTAGATTGCTTCGCTCCCTCGCTCACCCATCCCCTCTGCCCGCCCTCCTTCCCCAAGCATATTTATTGCGGGAGAGCACCATGCCCTCCAGGTCCACAGCCATTTATCTTACAGCACTTGACTTTTACCCTCACTGGCCTTTCTCTCACTCGTTTGATCTCATTCAATTTCCTGGCGTCCTACTGGTCATGGACAGCTTAGGCCCCTGTGCTGATGGATGCTGCTGTGTCCTGCATGCCCCCTCAGGCCTCCCTGGGATGCAGCAAGCTTGCCTGCTTGCCATCCAGGCTACCTGGCTATGTGCCCGGGCTGTGATGAGGCGGGAGGCCTTAAATGCTTTAGCACCGCTCCCAGGGATGAAACATGTACTTTTCATGTATGTTGGTGTACTTACCAGGTCCTTCTAAAGAAGGGAGGTGCTGGGCTGGAGGAGCAGCCCGCAGTCATAGTATGTTCAGACAGACAGCCCCCGTGCCCTGCAGCGTGCATTGCTTCTGTCCTGACACAGTGCAATCAGTTGCCTGTGTGCACATGGAGCAGACCAGACCACGCCCAATAGGGCAGCATGCCAGGCACAGTGCATGATTTCCCTACCTGCTTCTTCACGTTCCCGGGTGCAGACTGGCAGGAGATTTCACTGCACTACTGCTGCGGCTGTGGGACAAGGAGAGATTGCACACTCTGGGAGCTGTTTTCTGGGCCATGGCCCTGACCCGTCTAGCCTGGGAGAGCTGACGGCGTCGCAGCAGTTATTCTCATCTGTTCACGTGGCTTAGTCAGGATTTTGGACCTGAGAGAGTCTTGGAGATATTTCTCAAAAAATGGTCTCCTGGACTCACTTTGTGCCAGATGCTTCACGGGGGCCTGGGATATAAAAAGAAGGCAAAAGACCTCTCAACACCTGTCCAGTCAATATCTGTTGGTTGTTAAGTATTGAAATTTTTCTATATTGTGAAAATGTTGGCAGTTGCCGTGTTTGGCACAGTTGTAGTAAAGCAACACGGTTTGTGTTACAGAAGCAAATTTAGATTTGGAAAGATACTGACCTGATGTCTGCTCAGGGAATGAACCCCTGCTGGAATTTCCATAATTTTGTCATCCTGTTCCCGCTCCATCAGAAGTCTTTATCTGTGACTCAGGACAGGGAAGTCTTGGGGCACAGCCACTAGACAGCCGATGAGTGGGAGGCAGTGGCACCAGAGCTTTGGAATCATATTATTTAACGGGAGGCAGGTGGCGCTTTGCTGGTGAGATGGCTGCCGGAGCCCTGAGCCCACAGCTGGAGGTACCGTGTTTCCACCCAAAAGAGCTACTCTTCTGGTGGCCTCTGTCCTTACCACTGGCACCGCTCTCTCATTTAGTCAGTTAAGCTGGCAGCTCTGCCTTGCCCAAGACTCCCCAGGCGTCCAACACTCCAACAGCCCACCGATTTTCTGCCTTTTAAATTCCTCTACAGTCGCTCGTCCTCCGGGCACTGCTGCTGACCCAGTGCGCTCTCGCGGAAGCAGATTGTACCTCTGTCCTTCCCCTTAAAAATAACGCCTTTTTACCTAATTTTAAAACTTATCATTATTAGATAAGTAAGAGCAGGTGTTTGACCTCGCTCTTGGGTTCTGCTTCAGAGTGCCTGGGTTCGAGTTCTGGCTCCGCTGCTGATTCTGGCTTCCTGCTCACGTGCCCCCAGGGAGGCAGCAGAGCTCCTGTCGCTGAAGCCCTCCTGCCACCCACAGACAGACCTGGCTGGAGCTTCTGGCTCCGATTCAGCTCAGGGCAGCCCCGCCTCCACAAGGGCATTTGCAGGGTGAACCAGAGGAAGGGAGCTCGCGCGCTGTCTCTCTGCGTCATACCCAAAAATGCTTATAAGTTAATACTGTTTTGTGAGAAAAGCAGCTTGGAAAACACAGATGGGCAAAATTGATTTTTTTTAAAGACACTGTAATCATCTCTGATCTTACACCCAAAGATAATTACTGGGTTTGTGCATTTTGACCATATATGTGTGATTATTGTATTAAAATATTATAATACTTATACGTACTGTTTTGTCATGTACGTTCTTGTACTTTCTTACGTACTTCTTTTTTTTTTTTTAAAGATTTATTTTTATTATCTTTTCATTGGAAAGGCAGATATACAGAGAGGAGAGACAGAGAGGAAGATCTTCCGTCCAATGATTCACTCCGGGCCGATGCTATGCCGGTCCGAAGCCAGGAGCCTCTTCCGGGTCTCCCACGCGGGTGCAGGGTCCCAAAGCTTTGGGCCGTCCTCGACTGCTTTCCCAGGCCACAGGCAGGGAGCTGGATGGGAAGCGGGGCTGCCGGGATTAGAACCGGCGCCCATATGGGATCCCGGGTGTGCAAGGCGAGGACCTTAACCACTGCACCACCGCGCCGAGCCCTTTCTTACGTACTTCTTAATCATTTTTCCAAATCATTGGAAACTTACAGGTTAATTTTTACTTAATTTCCAAGTACTTCTTGATATAACAGCAGCTGTTTTAAGTAGCATTACTCCTCATAAGGTGGACCTGAAGTTTCTGGCGGTTTTATTGGGTTTTGGTGCTTTGTAGAATTCTTTTGTAAATAACAGTGATAATTTTTCTACGCCCTTCTTTTTATGTTACTGCTTATTATCTTATGATAAATCTTGAGAAGTAGAATTTCTGAGTCAAAGAACATGAATTAAGAAATTTGAGCTGGGTGGGCCTGGCATGATAGCCTAGTGGTTAAAGTCCTGGCCTTGAACATGCTGGGATCCCATATGGGCACTGGTTCTAACCCCAGCGGCCCTGCTTCCCATCCAGCTCCCTGCTTAGGACCTAGGAAAGCAGTCCAGGATGGCCTAAAGCTGTGGAACCCGCACTGGTGTAGGAGACCCCGAAGAAGCTCCTGGCTCCTGGCTTCGGATTGGCTCAGCTCCAGCCATTGCAGCAGCGTAGGGAGTGAACCATGGGACAGAAGCTCTTCCTCTCTGTCTGTCCTCATCTCTGTATATCTGCCTCTCCAATAAAAATAAAATCTAAGAAAGAATGAAAGAAAGGAAGAGAGAGAGAAAGAAAAGAAAACAAAAGAAAGAAGGAAACTTGACCTGGGCGCAGCACTGTGGCCTAGTGGCTAAAGTCTTCACCTTAAGTGTGTTGAGATCCCATATGGGCATCGATCCTAATCCCGGCAGCTCCACTTCCCATCCAGCTCCCTGCTTGTGGCCTGGGAAAGCAGCCGAGGACGACCAAAGCCTTGGGACCCTGCACCTGTGTGGGAAATCTAGAAGAAGTTCCTGGCTTCAGTCGGCTCAGCTCCAGCCAGTGCAGCCACTTGGGGAGTGAACCACAGATCGGAAAATCTTCCTGTGTGTCTCTCCTCCTCTCTGTATAGCTGACTTTGCAATAAAATAAATAAATCTTAAAAAAAAAAAAAAGAAAGAAATTTGACCTGGGACCAGAATTCAAGTCTTAGCTATTCCAGTTCCAGCCCAGCTCCTTGCTGGTACACCTGGGCAGAGTGAGGGACAGCAGCAGATGACCCTAGTGAGCCCCTGCACCCACATGGGCAGTCAGGGGACACCCTGGGCTCCTGGTTTTGGCCTGGCAAGCCCTGGCTGTGTAGCTATTTGCAGAGTGAACTACTGGATGGAAGATTTTATATTCATTCACGCGATCTCATTTTTTCTAGCAATGCCTTTTAAATAAATTTTTCAAATAGATAAATGCATCCTTTAAAAATAAATTTTGGGGCCCGGCATGATAGTGTAGAGGTTAAAGTCCTCACCTTGAATGTAGGGATCCTATATGGGCGCTGGTTCGTATCCCTGCAGTCCCACTTCCATCCAGCTCCCTGCTTGTGGCCTGGGAAAGCAGTCAAGGACTGCCGAAAGCCGTGGGACCCTGCACCCATTTGGAAGACCCAAAGGAGGCTCCCGACTCCTGGCTTTGGACTGACTCAGCTCCAGCCATTGCGGTTGCTTGGGGAGTGAATCATTGGATGGAAGTTCTTTCTCTCTCTCCCCTCCTCTCTGTATATCTTTTTGAAAAATAGCTACAGGCATCTGGCCTCAACCTGGCTTAGCCTTGACCTGTTGCAAGCATTTGGGAAGTAAACCAGCATATGAAGATCTCTCTGTCTGCCTCTGCCTTTAAAACAAAAAGAAAATAAATAAGCATTTCAAGGCCCGGCGCGGTGATGCAGTGGTTAAGGTCCTCGCCTTGCACGCCCGGGATCCCATATGAGTGCTGGTTCTATCCCGGCAGCCCTACTTCCCTTCCAGCTCCCTGCCTGTGGCCCGGGAAGGCAGTCAAGGACGGCCCAAAGCTTTGGGACCCTGCACCCGCATGGGAGACCCGGAAGAGGCTCCTGGCTTCGGAGCGGCATAGCATCGGCCGTTGCGCTCACTTGGGGAGTGAATCGTCAGACGGAAGATCTTCCTCTCTGTGTCTCCTCTGTGTATATCCGCCTTTCCAATAAAAAAAAATAAAAATAAATCTTTAAAACAAAATAAGCATTTCAAAGCCAGTAAGCTGGGAATAGCTAAGTTATGTGTAACTGTTCCGCCCTTTACGTTTAAGACTGTGTCCCAACCTACACAAAATTGTACCACACAATTCAAAATAAAAATTTATTAAGGAAAAAAAAAGACCGTGTTCCTGTTGGAATACACACGGCCTGTCTGTCTCCCTGCTTTGATTCAGCATCACACTGAGGTCCAGCCGGGAGGCAGAGCAGAAGATGTGAAGCTACTCAGGTACAAAGCCAAAATGCTGCCGTTTGCAGTGTCACGATTTCATAGATAGTCACATCATCTACCAAGAGAGAAAAATGACAGAAACAAATAAATAGCAAGATTGGAGTTTGCAGGTACAGTATATGCCTAAATCAATGAGACTGCAATATTAGTGATATGAATTAGAAATGAAAAATTTCACAACAGAATACCACTTATACAAGCATCAGACTGTGTCAAACAGCTTTGTGTTAATCTCGTAAAAAATGTTACATTGAGCTCTACGAAGCATTACTGAGAATTTACTGGGAAGTAAAGAATATAAATAGAGATAGATATCGTATCTGTGCATAGAAGATGTTATTGAAATATCATTTCTTCCTACTTTGACTAATAGAGTCAGTGAAATTCTAGTTGAAATCTCAATATGCTTTTGAAAGATATTTGCAAGTCAGTTCTAAAATTTACATGGAAACGCTAAAGATCTAGAACAGCCAAAACAATTTTTTTAAGATTTATTTTTATTATTTTTCTATTGGAAAGGCAGATATACAGAGAGGAGAGACAGAGAGGAAGATCTTCCGTCCGATGATTCACTCCCCAAGTGAGCGTGACGGCCGAAGCTATGCCGATCTGAAGCCAGGAGCCTCTTCAGGGTCTCCCACGTGGGTGCAGGGTCCCAAAGCTTTGGGCCGTCCTCAACTGCTTTCCCAGGCCACAGGCAGGGAGCTGGAAGGGAAGCAGGGCTGCCGGGATAGAACCGGCGCCCATATGGGATCCCGGGCATGCAAGGCGAGGACCTTAACCACTGCGTTACCGCACCGGGCCCATGATTAAGCTCTTTTTAAAAAATTTTTAGAAGTGACTTTCAATACCAAAATCAAGTGGAAAGCACAGGAAATTCCTATAAACACCCCGCCCACACACACGTACCCAGCCTGCTCCACTGTCGACATCCCACACCATAGTGATGTATTTATTACGATCAGTGAACCAACAGTGACATCGTTGTCACCTCAAAATCCCCAGCTCCCACTAAGGCTCTTGCCACTGGGCACGTGTGTCCAGCACTGTAGTCCATCACTGCTGAGCCCCGTGTATTCCTCCTGTCGGCCCTCTCCCCCAGCACCTGGCAACCTCTTGTCAGTTCGTTTTAGATCAGGGGATCAAATTAATTCATCGGGGACAAAAAGTCCCTTTTTATTTTGACTTGCAAAGAGAAGGAAACTTTCCTTTCACTGACTGGCTGGCCAAGAAGCTATAGTAGCTGGGACCGGGCCAGACCAAAGTCAGGAGCCAGGAACTTCACCTGGATCTCCCCTAGGGTGACAGGGATCCTAGCACTTGGTCCACATGCTGCTGCTTTCCCAGAGACGTTAGCAAAAAGCTGCATCAGAAGCAGCGTGGATTGGGACTCCGATCTGCATGCAAGGGAACATGTCAAAGCACTGGCTCCAGAAAGTCCCTTTAATTAATAATGTTGGAACAACAGGGTGTCCAAATGGAAGAAAATTACACTCTCATCACACCTCAGACCAAAATATATCTAAGCACATACCCAGAAGGCTTCTAGTGAAAACTATACAACTTTATAACCATGGAATGGGGAAAGATTTCTTTGGATCCAAATACTTCCCGAAAGATAATATGGAAATAGCCAGCGAACAGGGGCAAAAATATTTAGTATTATCAGTTACTGGGGAAATGGAAAATAAAACAACAGCAAGCATTTCCAATCCAGTGAGATGGCCAAATAGGAAAGACTGAGCAGGCTGGATGTCAGCAAGTGGGGCCCTGGTGCGTTGCTGCTATTGGTGTAAAATGATGCAGTTGCTTTGAAGTCTGCTTAGCCATTTCTGAAGTTACGTTTGTCCCCAAATTCTGTCGCAGTATAAAATGGATTACATTCACGTGGACAGGAATATCAGGAGGAAAAGATTTCAGAGCAGATGGTGAAGTTTTGTTTGAAAATACCAGTGGAGGGGCTGCTTAGGATCTGTGTGGGCAAGTGGTCACAGACCAGAATTTCAGCAAAGAATCTCAGGAAGAGGAAAGAAAGGCTGGAAGTGAAGTCAGCATCCCAGCTCTTCTGCTTCCCACACAGCCTGGGAAAGCAGCAGAGGACAGCCCAAAGCCTTAGGACCCTGCTTCCATGTGGGAAACCCAGAAGCTCCTGGCTCCTGGCTCGTGACTTTGGATCAGCTCAGCTCTGGCTGATGCGGCAACTTGGCGAATGAACCTGTGAATGGAAGATCTTTTTCTCTCTTTCTCTCTGTAATATCTGACTTGCCAATTAAAAAAAGAAGAAGAAGGAAGGAGAGGAGAGGAGAAGCAAAAAGGAAAAAGAAAACCAGCTTGGCTCCATCTGTGGGCACATGCGCCTCCAGAACCCCCAGACTCACAGCTCTTGGTTTGGATGTCTGCAGTGGTCATGTGATGACACACATGGATCTTGTACCATCCCCACATCGGTCACTCCGGCTGAGGGCAGGAGTGTCAGGACCTCCCTGGAATAGGTGCCCCCGCCCCTGCTTTAGCAGGGTCCTATATTTGCTGCTGCTGAGTTGCCACCATCAGTGCCCCACTGGTGCTCTGGGCTCCCTCACTGGACTGCCGCTTGTGAGAGCATTTGTAGACGGGCTAGTGCTGTGCCAGGATCCGGTCAGTGTGCAAGCGGATCCTGTTGACTCAGAACCTGAGCAGGTCTCCAGCATGCCCACACAAGAACGTCACTCCACACTTCTCTGTGGCTAGGCTGTCCTTGCTGCTTGGACCAGGCACACACATGCTGCTGTGAGCGGAGGGAGGTGTGCCACAGCCCTTGTGCCCTTGGTAGGGCAGGGGGGTGCTGCCAGCGTGGCTGAGTAGCCACGAGAGATGTCAGGAAGCCAGGAACAGTCGTGAAGGTTGAGCTCGTCCACACGGGACCCAGTGCACATGCTGGCATCACTGACGGTGGCAGTTGGCAGAGCTGCTGCAGCTGCAGGCCTGCCTGTCTCACACACATGAGCATGGTGGTAGGGAATCTGTCAGCTCGCCAAGCTCTGGCTACTTTAGCTGTGGGGTGGCTTTTTTCCATGAGTCTTAAGATGTTTTTTTTTCAATCGTTGCTGCTTTGAAAGACCTACTATCATGGGGCTGATTTCCTAAACCACCCTAGAAAACCGTTTACTGGACTAAAAGGATGCCAGTCACTTTCTGAATGTTACTGTCTCTTAGGGCTGGTATTTCATAACACAAACAGTGAGATCCTCTGTACCTCTTCTGCCCTTCACGATGATGGATTTTTTTGAAGTAGAAGTTCTGCTGTGTACATTGTAACAAGCGTGTCCTCCAAATCTTCATATTCAGTGAATTTGACTCCCTGGCACCTTTTTAAAATACCAGTTTCTATAGCATTGAACTTTGGTGTGAATCCTTGAACCTGTTTAATTTTTACAGACCAATGAGTATGATCAGATCATTGTCTTCACTTTGTTTTTCTTGAAAAATAACTTAAATGTAACCAGAAGAGAGAAGGAAGGGAACAAATTATAGAAGTAGCTAATGATTCAGGCCCAGGACTAAGGAGGTTGTTACTTGAAGATGCATGACTCACAGGAGTGTCCTGTCAGCTTGTTGGGGGGTCCAGGTGACAGTTCCCATGGAACGTCAAGTTGGGGCTGGTCTGTAGAGCTGCTGGGCTTGCCCTTCTGATGGGTAACGTAAGTTTCTCCTCCAAATCTAGCTACATGGTGAACATAGGTCTGATTGACAAGCTGTGCGGCTGCTTCCTGTCAGTGCAAGGCCCAGTGGACGAGAACCCCAAGATGGCCACGTTCCTGCAGCACGCCACCGGCCTCCTCCACGGAATGTGCACGCTGTGCCTGGCCGTCACGGGAAGGTAAGGCTTCCGCTGCCCTCGGGCTGCTCAGGGCTCGCCGGACGGCTACTGCGTTCTGCCTGTCTTGGGATCATCTCCTAGAGCCTCCCTTGGCCATCCTGGCCCCCTCCCCCTGTCCCCACTTTTGGCAGTTTTCCATGTCAAGATGGGTGATGAGTTCTCAGCTTGCCAGGATGCCTGCTCCTGCCAGGGTCTGTTTTTCTGTCTGGTGCCTTAGGCTTAAGTGTTGTTGCTCAGAAGTTACGCAGCCTCTCTCCCCCTGAGACCCACAAGAGTCAGTCATTGTCCTCGGTCAGTGACTCAGTGACTGAGGCCGCACCTAGTGGAGCTGGGCCTCAGGTCGAGGATGCGGGCTTCCTGCTCCAGACCCCAGTGTTCGTTGCTTGTGCCTCTGCCCCTTTTCTCCTGGGGGAGCCACCCAGATGTGTTGCTCATCCTCCCAGGCATGGTGAAAGCTTGCTGGGCCTAAACCCTAGCCCCCAGGCCACCCTGGGTCGGCTCTCACCAACAGTGTTCCTCCAGAAGGAACAGCCAAGGTCCCACACACCACCCAGAGGCTGTTGCTGGCGGCAGTGACATGGTGTGGCTGATAGAGATGCAGCCCTCCGACGTGCTGAGGATGCAGGTAGCTTTCCCAAGGCCAAGCACTCCTTTGTATCATGAGGGCACTTCTGTTATCCATCTCTCTATTATCCCATCAAGACTGCCTCAACTCCATGCAGGATGTTCTATGAGAAGCAACTTCCTTTCTAAGAGTTTCCTCCACCTTGTTCAGTCCATTATGCAGAAGACCCCTCATCCTACCTCCTCTTCCTTACTCCTATCCAGCCCTTCACCAGCAGCTACATTTCCAGAAAGATCAAGAGCAAGATGTCAAGGAAGCCAAGCGTGGCCCACACACTGGGCTGCAGGTTCTAGAAGTACACAACTTTCCTGCCAGGCTCTGGTGACAACTCAGCATTGAGTGCAGGTGTGCCTGTGTCCTGCAGGGGATGAGGGGGCACTGAAGAAATAGGGCTGTATCCGGGGCAATGGCCTCCATGCCAGGCACTGGGGGTGCCACTCCCAGGGAGCCCATAGCTGAAGGAGAGCACTGACAGGTGACATGTGGAAGGCTGCAGGACAACAGGAGAAGGAAGCAGTGAGCCACAAGGGGCCCCATGTGCATGGCAGAGCGTGGGAGAGGTGGTGCCTTGCCGGGGAGCTGTTTGCAGAATTCAGGAGCACTTTCCTCCAGCAGTACCTTGCAACAGCAGCCTGCTGGGGGTAGGGGAAGTGGGGTGCCTGGCATCTCCAGCGCTCCCCAGGGTGAGGAACCTCCTGTGCAGCCTCTCAGAGGGTCTCCTGCCAGAAGCTGCCCATTAACATGTCCTCAGTCCATCTGTCTCCTTTCTCTGTTCTCTGCTTTCTCACCAGTAATCACCTCACACCCGCATCCTTATCCCAGGATCTGCCTTTGGGCAGGCCAGTCCGAGAGATAGGAACACACAGGTCTCAGAGTGCCATGGCAAGGCCAGGGAACACCACAAGGCCAGTGCTGGCCTGGAGCTGTGCGGGAAGGAGGAGGGGACCCAGCTGGTCCCCAGCAATGTGGCAGAAATGTGGCAAAGGGATGGGCAGAGAGGCCTGCACATGGTCCTGGTGAGCAAAGGGAGGGTGATGTGGAGAGGAACAGACATGTTGGGGAGGCGGAGGAGGTGTCGCTGACCTTGATGACATTGGGGGATGGTATCTAAGACAACTTCCCGGTCTCTTACTTGAAAATTGTGCATTTCAGGTGGTGAGGGAATAGGATCCAGTGCTTTGTTTTGTTTTTAAAGATCTATATTTATTTTTATTGAAAGGCAGATTTACAGAGAGAAAGAAAGATTTTCCAACCTCTGGTTCACTCCCCATTGGCTGTAATAACCAGAGTTGAGTCGATCCAACGCCAGGAGACAGGAGCAACGAACCAAAAGCCTCCTCCAAGTCTCCCACGCAGGTACTAGGGTCCCAAAGACCTAAGCCAGTCTCTGCTGCCTCCCCAGGGGCCACAAGCAGGGAGCTGGATGGAAAGTGGAGCAGCTGGAATATAAACCAGTGCCCATATGGGATGCTAGCCCTTGCAGGTGGGGAATTAGCCAATTGAGCCATCGTGCCGGCCCCATGATACAGCGTGTTGTAGAGCTCCTGTCCTCCCTGACTAGGTTGCACACCTGTGCCTGGATGTGCAGCAGACTTGTGTCTATAATCCTACACGAGCAGATTGCAGGTCCAGAATCCCCTCTTGGCAACCGTCACCTGCAATATGAGTTCCTGCTGCAACCTCAGTCACTAAGCAAATTTCTATTGGTAGGCCTTGCTAAAAACAGCAGATTTTTTCTAGAAAAGTCCGGGTGGTCTCCTGGCCTGATTCACCTGAGAAATTCTAAGCCTGGGAGAGACAAGGGGAAAGTCTTTGCTGGGGTTTCTGACCCCGCCTGGCATCGTCTGCCAGGCTGCATGAGCACCGGCAGCCCCAGAAGCAGGCATGCGTGCGTTCCTACTGCAGAGTTGTTCACCCGTCCTGTATGCAGAAGCTCTGACAATACTCCCTGATTCTCCGTGGAAACTGTTTCTAGCTGTGAGCCTGGAGACCGTTCAAGCAGGCTGAACACATTCTGCATTAGGACACGACCATGTCTAAGAAGAAAAGTGGAGTGTTATTGTTTGTTTTGTTGCTTCATTGCAGTGATTCGCCTAATTCCTGTTTGGGCTACCAGGTGCCAGCCAGAGCCAGCATGTCCAGGAGAGCTTGTCCCCAAAGCCCCTTTGGCGTAGAAGACAAAGAGCAGTCCAGGGGAGCCTTCCAAACTCCCCTGGTGCTGGCGGCGCTGACACAATGAAGCAGCCTAATTGACAGCATCGGCGCGAGTCGCCAGTGCGCAGTCTGCTGCTGCCCGGCCCCTGTGGGGGGATTACGGCAGGTCTGCCCTTGCACTGCTCTCCTATTGTGTTCCTAATCTTCTAATTTCTACCTGGGTTTTCTAAAAGTCAATTTAAGTGTCAGAATTTGTGCTGTTAATCTTTACTTCAATGTGTGGGGGAGAGAAGCCCCAGCCCCGTGTGACTTTTGTACCAGGCTTGGTGTTTGAACAATGAACTTGCATTTCTTTAAGTAGGAAATTTTCCCTAGTGAATGGGTTGGTTGCTCTGTTCGCCTCATTCCAGAATTTCCATTTGGAAATCATTTGTAGACCGTAATTTTCTAATCACTACACAAGAACCTAGAGCCCATGGTCTTAAGACCTCCAGAAACACCCCTTTCTTCGGCCATGACTGTGGTCTGTTTTTCCGGGCTCTGCCCCTGCCACAAGGAAGGATGGAAGGCTAGCGTTCAGACTTGCACACAGTAGTTCTGCAGCTACAGCTGGTGGAGGCTCCCTAAGTGCCCCCGAAGGTGGAGAACTCAGAGTGTCGGCCAAGGCAGGCCTTGTGCTCAGGCTGTAGTCCTTCGAGCCGGCCCTAGCCCCAGGAACTGCACTGACCAACGTGAGAGGAGCTGGGGATCCGGCCATTTCTGCCCAGACGAAGAATAGTTCTCCAAGTCAGAATATTTGTACACAAGAAGAAATGTGCTATTGCCTGAATTTGTGTTTTTAATTTTCACTTCCACAAACTACCCTAGCAAAATATGTTTCAGCCAAGGTCTTGGCAACTTGGGAAAGATGAGAATGATTTGTAATTGAGCACATTAATTATGTGGCTATAAATGAGTGCTTCTCAAGTGTTTAAGGATGCTTGAAAACCATTTGTTCGAGCAAAGGTAAACTTTAACTCCGCCTGCCGGCCTGCTCATTCATTCCCTGAACAAATATTTATGTAGCACTCGCTCTGTGCCAGGTCCTGTGCTGGGCTTGGGAGAGACAGGGACGCCTCAGACATCGATGGCATCCTAGAAGATCTTGTGAGGTTGGGGAAGGAATGCGCGTGAGCAGGTGCAGAAGACAGAACAAGCACTCAGCATTCCGACAGCCACAGACAATGTCCAGGAGATGCTGGCCCCTCTTAGCATCACCGTCACAGATGAAGGTTCCAGGAGGAGGGAATCACTCTTTAGCTATTGGTAGGGATTAGTTGTTTGCTAGTTTTTGAAGAATGAAGAAAAAGGCCAACCAGGGCAGTGGTGTGAGTGAAGACATCCACAGAGGAAACTTCAAAGACTGGCTAGTTGACCTCTAAGAGGCCAACCAGATATCTTAGAGTTCACCTCCTAAAGCCACTGTGGACCATCCGAAAATACCAGTGCTGACATGGAAGGACTCTGCATGCTTTCTGCAGTGACTTCCCAAGCTACTAGACTACTGTGCCAGACCCATATAAATGGTTTTTAAGGGCATTACCCTCCGAAGGGCCTGGCACAATGGCTCAGTAACTAAATGCTCACCTTAGAGGCACCAGGATCCCATATGGACACCAATTAGCATCCTAGCTTTTCCACTTCCCATCCAGCTCCCTGCTGTGGCCTGGGAAAGCAGTCAAGGACGGTCCAAAGCCTTGGGACCCTGCACCCATGCAGGAGACCCAGTAAAGGCTCCTGGCTTCAGATTGACTCAGCTCTGGCCATTGCGGCTATTTGGGGAGTGAATCAACTCTTTCTCTTTGTCTCTCCTTCTCTTTATAACTCTCCCTTTCCAATAAAAATAAGTAAATCTTAAAAAGAGAGAGAAACTTTCCCTAGGGAAAGAAACCAAACACTCTGGCAGCTCCTTAACAGGCACCTAGGACCAGACTGGAAGCAGGATCTCAGGAGCTGTCTGTTCCAGTACACAGAGCTAGCAGATGCCTGCGGGCGCCATGGGCCTAGGCCAGGATGCTGTTTCCTAAGCTTTACGTTGCACAGCCCATACCTCATGGTCCTCTTCCTCTGGGGTAAGGAGACACTCCAGGCTCTCAGACCTTCACCTGCCTTGTAGGATCAGTTCTCCCCCTCCCTCCCCTTCCCTTTTTGCCTCTCTCCCTCCCTCCCTGCCTTCTTCTGT